CATAATCCCCTCTGTTTCAGCCCTGTTTCCAAAGTGCTGATTCTCTGTCTGTTACTTTAGATGAAAATAAGGAGCCCCTCCCCACGCCCCTCTGAGAGAGATTTGTGTGCTGTTTACACGAGAACGCAAACGGGTTGTATCCGCTACTGTACCCGGTTACCTTGGTTGCTGATTGGCTAATGGTTACTCAAGCCAAAAAATCGTTATGACATCATAAAGTGGCCAAAATCTGATCAGCTCATTTTCAGACAGGTTTTTATAGAAATGGATCAAAAAGAGAGAGAATCTTTGTTCCTGAAACTTTCAGAGTCTCTTTCTACAGAGGGGACACATGTTGATGTAGAAGAGACATGGAGAAGAGGGGACACATGTTGATGTAGAAGAGACATGAAGAAGAGGGGACACATGTTGATGTAGAAGAGACATGAAGAAGAGGGGACACATGTTGATGTAGAAGAGACATGAAGAAGAGGGGACACATGTTGATGTAGAAGAGACATGAAGAAGAGGGGACACATGTTGATGTAGAAGAGACATGAAGAAGAGGGGACACATGTTGATGTAGAAGAGACATGAAGAAGAGGGGACACATGTTAATGTAGAAGAGGCAGGAAGAAGAGGGGACACATGTTGATGTAGAAGAGACATGAAGAAGAGGGGACACATGTTGATGTAGAAGAGACATGAAGAAGAGGGGACACATGTTGATGTAGAAGAGACATGAAGAAGAGGGGACACATGTTGATGTAGAAGAGGCAGGAAGAAGAGGGGACACATGTTGACGTAGAAGAGACATGAAGAAGAGGGGACACATGTTGATGTAGAAGAGACATGAAGAAGAGGGGACACATGTTGATGTAGAAGAGACATGAAGAAGAGGGGACACATGTTGATGAAGAAGAGACAGGAAGAAGAGGGGACACATGTTGATGTAGAAGAGACATGAAGAAGAGGGGACACATGTTGATGTAGAAGAGACATGAAGAAGAGGGGACACATGTTGATGAAGAAGAGGGGACACATGTTGATGTAGAAGAGACATGAAGAAGAGGGGACACATGTTGATGTAGAAGAGACATGAAGAAGAGGGGACACGTGTTGATGTAGAAGAGATATGAAGAAGAGGGGACACATGTTGATGTAGAAGAGACATGAAGAAGAGGGGACACATGTTGATGAAGAAGAGGGGACACATGTTGATGTAGAAGAGACAGGAAGAAGAGGGGACACATGTTGATGTAGAAGAGACATGAAGAAGAGGGGACACATGTTGATGTAGAAGAGACATGAAGAAGAGGGGACACATGTTGATGAAGAAGAGACAGGAAGAAGAGGGGACACATGTTGATGTAGAAGAGACATGAAGAAGAGGGGACACATGTTGATGTAGAAGAGACATGAAGAAGAGGGGACACATGTTGATGTAGAAGAGACATGAAGAAGAGGGGACACATGTTGATGAAGAAGAGGGGACACATGTTGATGTAGAAGAGACATGAAGAAGAGGGGACACATGTTGATGTAGAAGAGACATGAAGAAGAGGGGACACGTGTTGATGAAGAAGAGGGGACACATGTTGATGTAGAAGAGACATGAAGAAGAGGGGACACATGTTGATGTAGAAGAGACATGAAGAAGAGGGGACACGTGTTGATGAAGAAGAGGGGACACATGTTGATGTAGAAGAGACGTGAAGAAGTGGATTTTGCACAATAGGTGACCTTTAAGGGAATTTCATTATTATCACTGTTTATGTTTCCTTCTTGTTCTGTGAAGCACTTATATATATAAATCCTCTTTACTGTGGCTTTGAGGTGTCTTTCTGTGTGTTTTCAGACTAAAGGGTTTGCTGGATAAGGAAGAGCCGGAGTCTGAGGTGATCAAAGACTCCCCAGATTCTCCAGAACCGGCCAATAAGAAGCCTCGCCTCTCCATTGAGGAGGTCCCGCCTCCAGAGAGAGCCAAAGGTACACTCATCACACACTTCTGCTTAAAATGTAAACAAAAGCATTAGAAATCTTTGACAAACTGACCAGAAACGTGGCAGAAATCGCCGATAGTTCCCTGTAGATGAGCCTGTGCCGATAAGAGCTTATTGCAGTAAATCAGAAACAGGTTTAATGCGAAGTCGATTTTCACATACGAGGAATTTGGTTTATATGGTGCCTACATAAACACAGTTAAAGAAGATACATTGTAAGAAAATCAACCAAAAAATCACAAACTATTATAAAAAACGATAAAAAAATACAGACATTTTTTTAATGATATATAGATATACCAACGAACTGTGTACTATAACAATATACTCAAACAAATGTGTAGTATTGTTATGAAAAGTGGAAAGCTGTGCAGATAATAGGAGAAGTAGCTTGTGTACAAATACACACCGATGACATCACTCTGGATATGTGTGTTTTAATCTGTGGCTCTGTCTCTTTATTGCCACAGGTCCTGTCTCGCTGCTCACGATGTGGAGCAACCGCATCACAGCAGCGAACTCCAGGAAGCACCAAGAGTTCATGGGAAGAGTGAGCTCCGTCAACAACAAGTTCGAGCTGTACCAGCAGCTCAAAGAGGAGAATGGGTGTGTAGGAAACATTAAGCATCTGTAACTCAATGTTCCTCACGCAGGATTCCCATGTCTTAATCAAACTCGTTCCTTTGTGACAGGATGGATGTTCACGAAAACGGAAAGTCCTCCAGATGATGTCTCCACAGATCTCAGCCCCGCCCACAAAGAGATTTTGGACCACAGTGTTGTCTTAGGAAGAAAAGACTACAAAATTAAATAGATGGTGAACTCTTAACGAGGAATTTATACGTTTTTTAACTCATTATTTTGTAGATATGCTGTTCACATATTGTGTAACACAATAAAATCTGTTGAATATGGAAGTGATGAATTCAATTCTGGTGTCCTGTGTCGTTAACTTTAAAAGGCACTTATTTATACATTACATTAATTATACATACATTACTTTTAATTGGTAAAATAGTCATATTGCTGTGCTGCTATATCAGATCTAATTTATAAAAAAATAACTAACAACTTTCTTAAAATTGGGGGGAAAAACGCAGAAAGACTGACATTAAATAACAGAAGTGTTCTGAAGGTAGGTACTGGTCATTTGTTCGGTACAACCATTTGTATACACTTATTCTGTGTCAAAAATTGGCCAAATACTGTGAATTGAAGATTCAAGGATGTAGTGTAGAGCTCTGAACAGCAGAGGGAGCAGTTTGATAAAACAAATGATCCAAAAGTGGAGTTCCCTGTATTGAAAGAGAGGTAACACTATTGTATTTTTGTCAATCCATGCAGTACACAATGTTAACTGAATTTAGAAAGATGGTTTTTACTTTTAAACTAGATCCAATACAATCTAGGGAACATTTTCCAAACATGTGGGAGGCGGGACAGGAGATAAATATGCTGTCCAGTCTTATCCAGTCATAAAGTGGGACACCTTACGTTACCAAACTATAGTTATGACAAACGGGCAACAACAGGAAACCCTACAATATATTGTTCAAATATAGCATGATAGGTCCACTTTAAGTAATACAAGACATGATGATGATGATCTCCGCGCTGCAGCTGCTCCGTGCATGCATGCAGGCAGTGACATGTAATATCCAAGGATTAGAGACGGTTGGATGCTGCTGTTTTGAGCATTGCAATATATTTATTTTCACTATGTTATTTATTTATGATTATCCTTAGGCTCAGCAAAGATTTAATGTCAGCTGTTGCTGTCTTTTTTTCCATAGCTAATAGTTACTGAAATAGAGCCCTGCTGTTTTGTCAGGGCCTTTTCTTTAAATATAATTTTAAAATGTCGATACAGTAGCCCCTTTTTTAAATAGTTTTTATAGGTGTTGCTATCTGTTTTGTGTAGCGTGGTTCTACAAGCAAGTCAGTGCATTCATTGGGTGCTATCAGAGAGTTACACGGGTCTGTAAATGCAATGAAAACATTTGGCCACAGCAAATCATTTATATTAAACATGTAATTTTTACTTTTGAATACTTCAGTACAAAGGATGTATTGAATAATTTAAGTGATATATGTGTACACATATACATCATTCATTAGTCAAAACAGGGCTACATTTGATTTAATTAAAAGGTATAATATGTGGTAAACTGAAGAGCCGTTTGGGAGCCGAAAGAGCCGGCTCTTCTTGGTGAGCCGAGCCAAATGATCCGGCTCACCAAGAAGAGCCGGAATTCCCATCACTAGTACCTCATTCACACCAACGCAACTCCGGTTCAAGCTCCGTGCTAGAGCTTTTCAGATTCATTACCAGTTCTTCGGTTTAGCTCTGGCTCTTTTCACACCGCCCAGAGTCCGACTGGTAATGCGTCGTTGCGTCATCGTTTGCGTCATGACGTAACCGTGCCTGCTTCATAAAGCCAAACCGCGCGGATGAAATCAGTTGCATTCATTTCTTATGGCTCTATCTGCAGCTTTTCCAGAGTCATTTCTGTGGTTTAGTTATATTCTTATAAAAAAGTGTACTCGTGTCAATAAAGGTTTTTTTTAAACACAACTGCTTCCGAGGTCGGTCTTATTTCTTAAGGTGGACTGAACCATGAGTGTGGAGTAACGTTGTATCTTTCATTTAAATGAACTGTAACCTTCACCCAGGTATGTAACAGCTGTTCTCAAATGAACACGTGAAGTAAAGTTTAATATTTATAGTTTTATAGATTTATAATGAGTTATAATGAGAGGTGATCAACGTGAATGCTCAGGTTCCACCTTAACACGCAGACACGTTGCTTCCCCATGAGCAGAAACCTTATATATAGCCTACAGTCATGGCAGAAACACTGAAACTCTTGTTAAGTTTCTCCATCGTTGTGTACAAACTGGATAAAACGCGGGCTTTTTGTTGTTGTTCAGGAGTTGATCTGTCTCTGCCTCTGTATGTGGTGCTTTTGCTCTGGCCGGACAATTTTTTGGTGCTTGAAACGAACCGGATTCCGGAGCTAAGAGGCTGCTCCGTTGCGGTGTGAAGAGGAAAACCCGGTGCTTTTCAAGCTCCAGCTCCGAACCGGCCCTGAATCACCGTTGGTGTGAATGAGGTAACTGAGAACTTATGGCAAACAAATCATTTTATCTCTCATCAAAGATGGCAGAAAACATACATTATTGTACTCTGGAGGGGAGTTTGACAGGGTATTACTCAAAAAGTACACGATAGAAGTACTTGATTGTACTTGTGGTCGTACTCCAAGTAGTACTCTGTCCAGCAGTACCACTTTCACTGAGAACTTATGGCAAAAAATAATTTTATCTCTCATCAAAGACGGCAGAAAACATACATTATTATACTATGGAGGGGAGTTTGACAGGGTATTACTCAAAAAGTACACGATAGAAGTACTTGATTGTACTTGTGGTCGTACTCCAAGTAGTACTCTGTCCAGCAGTACCACTTTCACTGAGAACTTATGGCAAAAAATGATTTTATCTCTCATCAAAGATGGCAGAAAACATACATTATTATACTATGGAGGGGAGTTTGACAGGGTATTACTCAAAAAGTACACGATAGAAGTACTTGATTGTACTTGTGGTCGTACTCCAAGTAGTACTCTGTCCAGCAGTACCACTTTCACTGAGAACTTATGGCAAAACATTATTTTATCTCTCATCAAAGATGGCAGAAAACATACATTATTGTACTCTGGAGGGGAGTTTGACAGGGTATTACTCAAAAAGCACACAGTAAAAGTACTTGATTGTACTTTTGGTAGTAGTCTAACAAGTAGGCTACTGAGTCCAACAGTATCACTTTTATTAAGAATGTATGGCTAAAAATCATTTTATCTCATCAAATATAGCAGAAGTGGCATGATTTTGTTCTCAGGAGGGGAATTTGAGAGTATTACTCAGAAAAAAGACAGTACAAGTACTTCATTTTATTGTTGGTAGCAGTCAAACAGAAACAGAAGCAGAAAAAACACGCATAGCGTTAGTGCGGCTTCTCAGCGATTACCGTAAAGGTGCTATAAATCGCGCACTCAAAATGAAGAACTGCTCATTTGACCAAGCAAATTTGAGAGACGGCTGAGTTGACCGCAGTCTCACAGCGGGCAGAGCTGCAGGTGCTGATCTCTCTCTCGCGTCCGGTTATACTTCACTCGCGTGTATGTCCAAATCCATTAGATCTAGCTAGTTCTAGCTAATATGTCCGACCGGACTTTCTGTGTCCCACTTCGGTACCGGCCCACCGGGAAAACTCCCCGATATTCCCCCTCCCTACACGCAGATCACGCAGACTCAAACCTCATCTTATGCCCAAATTCCAGCTGAGAGGGTCTTCTCTACAGCTGGCCTGATTGTGAATCGCCTCCGCACCCGCCTCTCCCCTGAGTGAGTAGTCATGCTCATATTCTTAAACAAGAATGAGTATTGAATAGCTGCATTCTGTGCATAGGCCCTGTTATAGGTTGTTGATCTCCGTTGTAATCGGGTTACGTTACCCTAACCCGTTATGTTGTTCGTGTATGATCCCTCTTTCATTTAAAAACCAAGTTATGTTTTGAGCATGAAAGCTGTAGGCGTATAGTTGTCAACTGTTCAAACTGTGATCACCAGTTCAATACATTTGACCAATTCGACTTGGTTTCTTTACTTATTTGAACATGTATTTATATATTTTTTTTGTCAACATTTTTCCCAATTTTTTTTTTTTTTATAGGATATGTACATTTCGGTTAATCGGTTAACCGTTTTTTTGGGGGTCGAATATTCGAATATACATTTGCTTTCAAATTCCCATCCCTAATACCAATAAGTCCAAGGAGAAGAAATGCAAATGAACATTCAACAGCTGTGTTTTTAGTTTTGGAGATATACTTCAAACTAATCAGAAAATCTACTCTATATTTACTGCTGTAAATCTCCAAAGACTCAACAAGAATTGAATAACTTATAGGAGGGTTACAACGTTTTCCCCCATGTTTTTACATTACATATTTTCAGTAAAAAGCACAACGAAACAACTGAAAATAGAAACCTGGCATGATACCAAGCTGTCTGAAATAACTGCTGTTTATCTGGTGGCGTGTGAAGGAGAGCAACTGAACAAACACATTTTCAGTACAGTTTAATAATTTATTCATAAAATATGTATCTTTATTGTTAGCCAACTTTGTGTCCAATAGTTAAAGATGAGTCCTTTTTATTCAAAATAAAACCTCCATAGAGTAGTTGTACATTTTCAGAAAGCTAAGGATAAGGTTTGATTTTCTAAATAAAAGTCCCAGAAGGTTTCTATATCCTAAAACGAAGAAGGAAGTATTTATCTACTCATGCACAATACAATGTGTGGCCTATTTACCTCAACAATACAGCAACTAGGGCTGTGCGATTATGGCAAAAATCATAATCACGATTATTTGGGTCAATAATTGATATCACGATTATTTTGACGATTATTCATTGACCATTTATTGAACTTTAAAACAAATAATATTTTACCAATAAACAAGATCAACAAATATGTTGGAGCGCACTTCCAAAACCATACTAAACATATATTATTAATATGATAAATAAAAATAAATTAGACCAAAATAAATTAAATCCAATATGTTGCAGTGCACCTACTGAAAACTCCTTAACATATAGCCAACGTTTTGGTAAAACATATTCCACTCAGTTAAACGTTGAAGGCTGGCCAACCGTCATGGTCCAGAAGTAACAGGAAATAAATGTTGAACTACAATTTAAGACCAAATAAAAAAAATGTAGGCCACCATGGCAAATGCTGGTAGGGCTGCTCGTGTCATCTCTTAAAGATGTTTTGCAAGAAACACCAGCCTGTTTACATGGTCTGGTTTCAGAGATGAGCGCAGGCAGGTGACGATATTGCCACCTGTACTGAAGACCCTCAGCCACGCCCCGATACAGGGGTGACGCCGACCAATCACAAAGCTTTGATGCGTTCAAGTGCATTATTCTGGCACAGGAAGATTATGTTACAGGACATTAACGATAAAACAGAATATTGTTGTTCTATTTTTAGACACATCTCGCGATCGACTGGTTGGGCACCCCTGGGCTAGACCATAGGTCCGTTGTGGTCGCAAAGTAGTCAGCTGAAGCCACATCTCTCTCAACTTCCCCACGGCATTTGTCATACAGTGCAGGCAGCGCAGACCTGCTGAAATAATACCGAGACGGCATCGCGTAACGCTTGTCCAACGTGTTGACAAGTTGCTTAAAGCCCTGGTTGCTAACAGTGCTAACTGGGCACATATCTTTAGCGATGTGGAATGTAATGGCAAAGTACTTGCAAATAGTGGAAATAGCTGTACCCTTCTTTTTAACGAGTTGCTGCTCTTGTTCTGACATCTTCGCTCGCGCTGAACACTCACAACACATGTCACTCCCACGTGGCCGAGTGGGCTTTTAGGGAGGGGCGAAGCGCACCCAGCAAAATAATCGTATTTTGTCAATTATGCTGTTTACCTAATCGTCGCAAGCCATAATCGTAATCGCGATTAAAATACGATTAATTGCACAGCCCTAACAGCAACAGCTAATACTGCCAATACTTAGATAGCACTGTTATTGTCATACAGTCAAAATCACTTGGGAGGTCATTTTCTAGTCTAACAGTTCTGAAAACTCTCATGGTCCTGCCAGGTTTCCCCAAATCCTGACAGTCCTTTCCCCGCAGTCACTGAGGATGGCGGTAAATTGGCCAGGACTCGTGTCCATAGGAGTGTTTTACATCATCGTACTGGGCACAGGCATCTGGGCGTCCAGGAAGTCCAAACGCGAGGAGAAGAAATGCTCCGGGAACCGCAGTGAAGTTGCAATGGTTGGAGGGAGGAACCTAAATATCGGTGTCAGCATCTTCACAATGACAGGTAAAAATAACCACTTATAATTAGTGGTGTAATGTTACTAAGTACATACTCAAGTAATGTAAAAAAACTCACTACACTACTTCACTTAAAGGGTCACCTATTATGCTAAATCCACTTCTTCATGTCTCTTCTACATCAACATGTGTCCCCTCTTCTTCATGTCTCTTCTTCATCAACATGTGTCCCTTCTTCTTCGTGTCTCTTCTACATCAACATGTGTCCCCTCTTCTCCATGTCTCTTCTACATCAACATGTGTCCCCTCTTCTCCATGTCTCTTCTACATCAACATGTGTCCCCTCTTCTTCATGTCTCTTCTACATCAACATGTGTCCCCTCTTCTTCATGTCTCTTCTACATCAACATGTGTCCCCTCTTCTTCATGTCTCTTCTACATCAACATGTGTCCCCTCTTCTCCATGTCTCTTCTACATCAACATGTGTCCCCTCTTCTCCATGTCTCTTCTACATCAACATGTGTCCCCTCTTCTTCATGTCTCTTCTACATCAACATGTGTCCCCTCTTCTCCATGTCTCTTCTACATCAACATGTGTCCCCTCTTCTTCATGTCTCTTCTACATCAACATGTGTCCCCTCTTCTTCATGTCTCTTCTAAATCAACATGTGTCCCCTCTTCTTCATGTCTCTTCTAAATCAACATGTGTCCCCTCTTCTTCATGTCTCTTCTACATCAACATGTGTCCCCTCTTCTGCATGTCTCTTCTACATCAACATGTGTCCCCTCTTCTCCATGTCTCTTCTACATCAACATGTGTCCCCTCTTCTTCATGTCTCTTCTACATCAACATGTGTCCCCTCTTCTCCATGTCTCTTCTACATCAACATGTGTCCCCTCTTCTCCATGTCTCTTCTACATCAACATGTGTCCCCTCTTCTTCATGTCTCTTCTACATCAACATGTGTCCCCTCTTCTTCATGTCTCTTCTACATCAACATGTGTCCCCTCTTCTTCATGTCTCTTCTACATCAACATGTGTCCCCTCTTCTTCATGTCTCTTCTACATCAACATGTGTCCCCTCTTCCTCATGTCTCTTCTTCATCACCATGTGTCCCCTCTTCTTCATGTCTCTTCTACATCAACATGTGTCCCCTCTTCTTCATGTCTCTTCTACATCAACATGTGTCCCCTCTTCTTCATGTCTCTTCTTCATCACCATGTGTCCCCTCTTCTTCATGTCTCTTCTACATCAACATGTGTCCCCTCTTCTTCATGTCTCTTCTACATCAACATGTGTCCCCTCTTCTTCATGTCTCTTCTACATCAACATGTGTCCCCTCTTCTTCATGTCTCTTCTACATCAACATGTGTCCCCTCTTCTTCATGTCTCTTCTACATCAACATGTGTCCCCTCTTCTTCATGTCTCTTCTAAATCAACATGTGTCCCCTCTTCTTCATGTCTCTTCTACATCAACAGGTGTCCCCTCTTCTTCATGTCTCTTCTACATCAACATGTGTCCCCTCTTCTTCATGTCTCTTCTACATCAACATGTGTCCCCTCTTCTTCATGTCTCTTCTACATCAACACGTGTCCCCTCTTCTTCATGTCTCTTCTACATCAACATGTGTCCCCTCTTCTTCATGTCTCTTCTACATCAACATGTGTCCCCTCTTCTTCATGTCTCTTCTACATCAACATGTGTCCTCTCTTCTTCATGTCTCTTCTACATCAACATGTGTCCCCTCTGTGGAAAGAGACTCTGAAAGTTTCAGGAACAAAGATTCTCTCTCTTTTTGATCCATTTCTATAAAAACCTGTCTGAAAATGAGCTGATCAGATTTTGGCCACTTTATGATGTCATAATGTTTTTTGCGGCTTGTGTAACCATTAGCCAATCAGCAACCAAGGTAACCCCCCCCCCCCCCTTATCACCTGAATCTCCTCTTAGAGCACCATTGATATCTTTGTAACCAAATGTCTCTCAGAGGGGCGTGGGGAGGGGCTCCTTATTTTCATCTAAAGTAACAGACAGAGAATCAGCACTTTTGAAACAGGGCTGAAACAGAGGGGATTATGGGTAATGCTGCAATGATCAGAGACATGTTTTGATTATATCTGAGACCTGTTAGGGAATAATTTGCTTAGGTATTCAACCGTCGACCCAGTTCATCGTTTTCTCTCTTCACTGTCTCCTTTCCCACGGCATAGGTCTACGCGGCCTTGGGTATTGCTGCTATCTCTCTTAAGGAGGAGCAGCTTGGGCGCATTGTTGTTAGATTCAGGGTCCATAATTGTTTGTCTCATTGATGAAGAATGTTGATTATTACACTCTGAACTAGTTAAAACCTCGAGCTACAGAAAGAGTTCTTCAGAATTGGTTTGGCAACCGCTGTGTCAACTCGTGACACACCACCTGTCTTGTCAATTCTCCGGCCGTAACTCCAAATAAACCACCAGTGTTTGCCATCAAAGCTCCAGCTCAGTCCTGTTTCCAATTGCTTCAGAAGTTTCCCCCAGAGACCTATAATATATTGATGAAAAACAGTGTAATAGGGGACCTTTAATGTATTTAACATATTTAGTTACTTTGCAGATTGATGGTTTTAAGGTTATTCATATAAAAATCAACACACATATTATAGGTTAAGCTACCTAATGTATACAGTCATTCAATTAAAACCAACCTTAACTAAGTGCAACACTGAAGTGATAAACACATTAATACAACACACTTTTTTATACAATCATTTAAAAATAATCTGTTGCTTGAAATGGCTATGTTGTGAGTACCAGTACTTTTACTTTTGGTACGTAAAGTATATTTCAATGCTAAGTACAATTTTGAATGGAGAACTTTGACTTGTAACTGGGTTAGGGTTAGTATTTAAAAAATGTAGTATTAATACTTTTACTTAATAATCTGAGTACTTCCTCCACCACTGTCTATACTCATCATAGATTAGCATATTCACTGAGCACAGCTTTAAATGTTTGTAATGGTTAATCATTCAGGAACATGTATTATCAAATCAGTGGATTCAATTACTTTTGACTTAATTGGTTTTGTAATTATTCCTGATGTTTTGCAGCCACTTGGGTGGGAGGTGGCTATATTCTGGGTAGTGCTGAAATGGTCTACGATCCAACGAAGGGCTTAGTGTGGGCCGTCGCACCCTTGGCTTTCTCCATGAGTCTAATTATAGGTGAGTGAGGTCCAATATTTCCTTATTATGTCCTTACAATAATTTCATTCAATCAATCAATCAATCAATGTTTATTTATATAGCCCAATATCACAAATGTTACATTTGTCTCAGTGGACTTTACAGTTTGTACAAAATATCAGTATGACAATACTCATAACGTTTCCCTTTGTGTGACTCCAGGTGGGCTCTTCTTTGTCAAACCTATGCGGTCGAAGAACTACGTGACCCTCATGGATCCATTTCAGGAGAAATACGGCAACAAAGTGTCCGCTGTGCTCTTCATTCCCGCTCTCATTGGGGACATCCTGTGGATTGCATGTATTCTGGGTGCACTGGGTAAGACCGAAACAAGTTTCTTGCATCATCAGCCAGTAAAATCTCAATCTTGGAGAGATCTTAAGATGAAGATAAGATAAGAGGAACTTTATTGATCCCAAATTGGGAAATGTTTGCGTTGCAGTAGCATAAAAAAGAACAAAACAAACATGGCATTGCACATAAGTAGAAATGAAAGTATACTAGAATTTAAACATCTCAAAATATAATTAAAACAGCATCTTGAGAGTATGATGTACTTTTATCTGTGCCATGTTATCCTCTTGGTACAGATTGTTAGCTAACATTTACTTTAGGGTTAGGGTCATTCGTTTTGCACTTATTTGGCAGCAAAACGGCTGAGAATCGCTGCTTTTTCCAGTTCTTATTTCATTTTAAAATGACCATCTTTGGCTTTTAGTATCAAACTTTTGTTCGTGGGAAGAAAGGATGATTTACTCTCCTGATCCTGTAAGAGGCCTAGAAATGAATCTTGTGACTGAGGAACTGCAGAAGGAGGGCTGCACTGTATCAGTGCATCATGGGATGCAGACGTGGACATTGTCAAGGTTGCAATCAAGGTGTCACAACATCAACACACAACCTTGGTTGGGGGAGGCCCAGACTTCTTCTGCTGTACTATGCTGAGACGACCAATAGAGTGGTGCAGGGATGACATATTGTTGTAGGCCGACCCGGAAGTAAGCTGCGCATGGGTTCCCTCAACAATAGCCTATTGTCAGGATTCTCTTGATATGTCACGTTTTTAGTTTTGTATGTTCTTGGTTTGGGTTTATTTTGCTGTTCGGTTCTCCCTGTCATGTTTTCCTCCTTGTTTATTGTCTGGTCCTTCTTCTTGTGTTTTTCCCCTGTCGTTAGTTTCCCTGGTGTGTCTAGTTGTCTGATTGTGTTCACCTGTGGCTCTTGTGTTTCTCCTCCCCTGCCCGGCTGTTTCTCGTCTCGTGATTACCATAGGCGGATTTTGCGGCTGAAATATGTTACAGCATTACTACGTCTAAAACTGTTCCAATATTTTAATAGATGTAATATAATGATTGTTACAATACAAATCTGAATAATATCATGTTTTGTTTGAAATAATTTCATTTTTGAGCAGTCGCATGTTGTGACGTGTGTGTGTGTGACGTATGAGGTTAAGGACACAAGTTCCCTCGCTTTTTTTTTGCATACAAGTGATTCAGCTATTGTATTACAATAATTAGCAGTAATGGTTATGCGGCGATTTTTAAAACGTCCAATTTCTGGGACGTTTAAGGTGTCTACTTCTGCACTAAGTAGGACACTGGTTAATAATATTGTAGCGTGTTCAAGTAACCAAGGGATATAGTAGTTATCAAATAAGTATAAGATGTGCACAGTTATGATAAGTTTTACAGTTATGTAATGCCCTGTTGTTGGGGGGAGAGACCGCCCCTTCCATATGAGTGTGTGTGTGCGGCGGGCATGAGGCGTGCATGACGGGACGAGTTGTGTTCGTATATGGAAAAGTCATACTCAGTGCGGTGAGCGCTGGCTTTATTGCTACTGTATCCGTAGCACCCCACGCATAGTTGGGACTGTGTATTGACGTCAGTAAAAAAGGTTTGCCCCCCCAAGCGCAAATGTCAAACTCCGCCTATGGTGATTACCCCTCCCTGTATTTAGTCTTGTCTCGTCCTGTGTTCAGTGTTGGTTCGTCTTTTGTTTGTGAATGAGTTCACCGGTGAGAGTTCTGTTTTGTCCAAGTTATTTTTATTTTATCCTTGAAATAAAGGCTTTTTTCAGCGTTATCTGCATTTGGGTCCTGCTTGCTTCACTCACCGTAACACCTATAGATTTCTCTATAGGCTTTTGGAATATTGTAAAAAACAAGATCTGTGAAAAACGAACCTGTAAATGCATGTTTTGTTCAGCCGGATAATTTCCCTCACCTATGGTCATGAAGGATGGGTCATGACCGAAAGAACGAGATCGCGGATACAAGCGGCCGAGATGGGTTTTCTCCGCAGGGTGGCTGGTGTCTCCCTTAGGGATAAGGTGAGAAGTTCGGTCATCCGGGAGGGACTCGGAGTTGAACCGCTCCTCCTTCGCGTCGAAAGGAGCCAGTTGAGGTGGTTCGGGCACCTAGTTAGGATGCCACCTGGGCGCCTCCCTAGGGAGGTGTTCCAGGCACGTCCAGCTGGGAAGAGACCAAGGGGTAGACCTAGGACCAGGTGGAGAGATTATATCTCTTCGCTGGCCTGGGAACGCCTTGGGATCCCCCAGTCAGAGCTGGTTGATGTCGCCAGGGAAAAGAAAGTTTGGGGCTCTCTGCTGGAACTGCTACCCCCGCGACCCGACCACGGATAAGCGGGAGAAGATGGATGGATGGATGGAACCCTGCTTTTAAAAATGTCAAATCACAAATCTAATTGAGAGATTTATGATCGCACCACTCTATTGAGGCCTCCATTTTCATCCAGACAAGCCCAAAGTCCCTAAGGTGTATGACATCAACGCGATGGCATGGATGTGATACAACTTCCAGGATCTATAGTGTTGGCAAAAAACCAACGTTCCAGAAACTTGCGAATGGTGAATCGACCATCCAGACCTGTGCAAATGCGTTTCTGCTCCAAAATCAAATAATTGTAATTTGGACAAGACCAATGGATTTCTATGCCCTCAAAACATACATTTAGACAAACAATTAGGATGAGTTAGGGTATTTTAAAACCCTGAGCCTGTTTTTCAGGCCTCAGGCTCGAAGATTACATGCCCAGAACAAATGACTATATCTTCACTTCTAAAAGGGGTAAATGAATAATCTTTTTTCTCAAAGTAATGATACACCTGTGAGTTGGATGTAGAAAAGTCAGAATCAATATAGATGTTTTTATTTTAAAGTAAATTCAGATTGAACATAGTAAAAAAATGTAAATTATAGTTTCCGTCTAAAAAGAAAAAACATTACTTATAGTGAAAACCACCCTTGAATGATGGGATAGTAGACACAAATCTTTAGGAATCCAAACTATAACATATAATAAGTACCCTGTATCAAGATTGATGCAAAACAAGTGATGATACTTATACCATTGGAATCTGTGGAATCTCAGCTTTCATATGATATCTAGTCCGTGCAGATAGCATGAAGTATAAAATATCGCTACCGTGAGTTATGTGCTAAGTGCGTTAGCACTCTTTCGCTTAGTGCTGATTCAGACGCTTGGCGTTAGACTTGTGTTTTGTTTAGGTAAAAATTGTTCATATCGTCAGTTAGCTAAGTTTCTTCCCGTTAAGTGGGTATGACACATTAATAGGTTGTTAAATGTTAAGAAGCCCTGAGACACAGTTTCGTGAATATTGTTGTGTTTCGGGGTTAGGGTTTAAGGGATTTTTTTCGGCCATCTTGGACGCCATCTTGAAAATTAGACCTTTGTAGTGGGCAGATTCTGGTAGACTTTTAGTATGTTATTAAGTACACCTGATTCTAAAATAATCCATTGAAAAACCTTTTGTGCAGCTGAATGAAGCTTAGCGCAAGTTCAAGCAGGAAGACCAAGCTCTTCATTCATATTACACGTCACTTCTCTACCCTATCCTCCCTCATTAAGTGATCGGGGGCGTCACTCCCCAGCTAACCAATCACTCCTCTCTCCATTCTCACAAGCCTATCGTTGCACCTGCTAATCCCTTTATATCTGCTCTTCCCTCTTGTCAGCTGTCATTCCAGGTGACAATACGCAAGCAGCAGCAGGGCTTCGTCCCAGCTCCAGGCATTATTCATCAGCTCCGCAGTCTTGCGGATTAAGCTACAGGCGGCGTCCCCCAGTCGGCTAGCGGTTCCAGCCGGCCGCCCCGCAAACCTGGACGCGGGAGGAAAAGACAAGGAAATCGGGCTCCATGGAAGTTCCTCCGGCTAATGGAAATGGGCTACTTCACGCAAACAATTGACGCACGTCTTCAGTCTCTCGAGAGGGCATCACTGGCATCAGGGCCGCTCAAATGCGGCGCTTCCGGCCTTCACGCGGAACGGGCCCTCATGCATGCAAAGCTTCACCCACTTCTGGCTTCAACCACAACCCCTCTTGCAGGCAGGCAGGGCTTAAGCTACATCCCATTGAAGCTACTTCTCCTCCCGGCTCAATAGCCAGTCATAGGCGGCTAGCAGGTTCATTGCACAGCCCAGGCTCTCGCCTCTTTTCCCCACGCCTCACCTCTAAAATAGGCGTCAGGGTAGCGCTGGCAAGAGGCAGTTTGCAACACATTCACGAGATGTTCGTATATGCATCGCTGCCTTTAGTTCAGGGTTAAAGTGAGTCAGGCAGCGTCGGGTGTAACGTGTTACAGCATGGAGTTATGCAGTTCGGGTAACTACTACCCGTCACAATGCTCAGTAAGTACCGCAGTTTCAAGCTTCAACACAGTCATGGACGCTGCCCCATCCGTTGGTTTTGGGGGGTTTCTTTCAGGGAGAAAGAAGTTTACGTAAGATAATAGAAGACAGTCTTAATCACCCAATAAAGCATATCAGCATCTGTGACCCCTGCCTCACTATCTCTGGTGGTGGGTATGCGTGTGTGTGGCCCTTTAATGACTCTCCCTCTGTTGCGGCTTTCACACCAGCGCTTTTCCCTTTCTAGCTCCGAGTGGGAGCTTTTCTGGTTCAGCTCCGGGTTCCCTTTTCTGCTCCCGCTCTGTTCACACCGCCCAGCACCCGACTGGTGCTGCCGCTGCTGCTTCATGACGTCACCGTTTACATCGCTGATTTGCTCCCCAACGGCATTACGGCGCTCACAACAACAACAACGGGGAACTGCGTCGGGTCGATGATCGTGTTGCTTTTAATCACACGAAGCCAGATTAAATTGAATAACGACTTCTCCAACCGTATACTTTGCTCCAGAGTGCCGTGTTCATTGTTTATTAATGTGTTTCTGCAGCATTTACCGATGTTGTGTTGGCTGCTCTTCCACGGGAGTTTATTCTCCTCCGTTAGCTCCCGGTTAGCTCCCGGTTAGCTCACACTGCTGCGGCCG